TAAAAATATCAAGAGTTCAGAATAAAAGTAAAACTCGTGTCATATACTGAACGGTCAAACTACGCTATATAAAATACACGGTAGACATTTGGTATTTCGCGAATGTTTTACGTTGACAGGTGTGCGATGATGGTCCACGTGCGAGCAAATCGTCCGTGCATCTCTACGCGAAGCAAATCCTGGCGTAAAACATACGGAACGATGAAATTTGCATTTCTCTTCACACATCTTTATCATATTCGTTCTACGTGTTGCAATCTTTCTACAATTGGATGAAATGAGCCGCGATCCATTTTTAATCCGAAAATAGTTATTATTTTTTTCAATGAAATAATCATCTGAGATGTTTTTACATTCCAATTAAAAATTGACAACGTATTGTATATTATCGAATGTTTTTTGACTTTTTAGAGGAAAAGGTAATGTGAGTTCATTTGTTTCTTTTGTGTAAGTTTTTATTTTTTTTAGTTATTCAAATCAATCATATAAACGATTTAATTAATTAATTTAAATTTAATATAAAATACATTTGATTATGATAATTTTTAAAATAAAAAAAACTATTTAAATAAAAACAACTATGATATGACTATTTGAATATGATAATAAAATGTCCCTTTTCTATATTTCACAGAAAATTTGGTTTCTTGAGGTCTGTTGGGATCCATAAAGATAAACTAAATAACTTGAATTCATATACATAGAAAATTCTAAATGGATCGAGATATTATCAGATTCGAAGTTTCTTTTCATGAATACATTCTCCTAGCACTACTCTTGCGTTGATCCTGTTCTCGTGAATGTTTATCGAACATTCTTTTCAGCTTTGCAGATAACTCTAGGGACTTCTTAAAATAATTTTAAATTTGTATTCACAATACTGTACAATATTTTTCATTAAAGATCACGGCGTCTATGTTTACTCATTAATGTTAATGTAGAAAAATTGGTAAAATTTGCACTTAATTACGTTCCAGCGAAAATATAATATTCAAACTTATTTATCTTCTCAAAATAAAAAAAAACAACATCTTAAAAATTAATTTAGGATACTGTCTCATTTACTTACTTTAAATAATTTAAAGTTAAATTTAACATGAAAATACCATTCTTAACTCGGGAACAGTCCTGGAGTATTTTTACACTCCCAGCGTTTCCTTAAGAAAAAGAACTGATTAGTTCCAATAAATTGTTTAATTATACAATAACTGATGATATCAATTACTGATGCAGTATCATCAATTATTAATATAATATAAATATATATAAAGGTAATCAGTTTATTGGAACACTAATCAGTTCTTTATCCTAAGGAAACGCTGGGAGTGTAAAAATACTCCAGGACTGTTCCCGAGTTAAGAATGGTATTTTAATTATTAATGCAGTGCGAGCATTGTAATTCACGAAGCGAAAGGTAATGGGTGATGAAGATATACAAATATATCATATGAATGCGACGAACCAGCGCGGCAGAGATCTGATCTATTTCTACTTAACACCTCGCGAATTGCATGCTCATGCACGTCGGGGGAGATTTCGAAAGATTTCGAGATACCGTGAGAACACTGAGACTTCACCGGAAGATATTATAATCCTTCTCTTCCGCGCGCGCGAGCGGATAAACGCGGGGGAGTAAGACAAATGACGACGGGTGCGGCGGTGGTGGCGGCGGCGGAGGGTAAACAGTTACAGGGTGGAATATGCCGTGCTTATTCAAATCGCCGACAGATAAAATCTGCGAGCGTGCATTGCGCTCGTTGTTGCGGCGAGTACGATGAGATCTCACTGCGTTTCTCTCCCCACATCAATTGTGCGCTCCGCGTATTTTAAATGTCGAGTCTGGTGAAGACCACCCCCTTATCTCTATCTGGCGGGACCGTTGCTGTCAGTAAACTTTTAAAAGCTATCACCGTATTCTCTCGGTATTGAGACAGAAAAACAGAGAAAGAGAGATAAATAGAGAGAGAGAGAGAGAGAGAGAGAGAGAGAAAGAGAGACTTAACACGTCTTAGCGTCCTGCGCTGCTTCTCTGGCGTGGCGTGTACTATCCGGAATTTCGCGAATCTCGTTTGACTTGCCGATCCTCTCTGCCTCCCACACAGTATCCGGAAGTTTCGTCCCTAAAGTTTCCGGGAAAATCAGAGACAGGACGCCCGCGATCATGCCCATGGACCCGAACAGGATGAGCGGCAGTGACGGCATTATTTGTGCCTGAACGTAAATAAGGATACGTAATTAATGAAACGTTTTAGACAAGTGTAGTTCGTACAATGAATTTCTCAACAGTGATTATAAGAAAGATAGCGAGTATCATTGCAAAATATTTTTTTGTTGGAAGTAAAATATATTTAATAATATTTTTAAAGCTTCCTAAGTGTTTTCTTCAAAGAAGTTACGCGGTTTGCAAGTTATTCTCCGTATCTTGATACATCGTTAAATGCCAACGTCTTGTGAACGTTGCCGTTCACTTCATCAGAGCGAGGAGCAATCTGATACTGTATCAGGTTATTTCTCGCCATGATGAAGTAAACTGTAGTGTCCACGGTAAACATTGGCGTTTAACGATGTATCAAGACACGGAAATAAACTGCATAGCTCTTTCGTGAAATATAAAATACTACTGATATATAAAAATCATATCTATCATATTTAAAAATGGGAAGATACATAAGTGATATTTTTAAAGAAAATATTATCTGTGAAAAACAGTTTTCTAAAATGTCAGATCTGAAATTACAGAGGAATGCTGATAGATTCGCAGATCTATCAAATCTATCTAACATATATGAAAAATGTTTGCGACAGCATGGTGTTATCAAAGAGCAACTCGGGAAACACGTGTTGAGAAAACATCTGTTTATTGTCATAATGGGTGTCTATTGACTCACTAAAAGAGGCGTTTGCGGCGATAAGATTGATCCGACGCGGCCTGTCATACTGCAAATTCCGAGCAAGGAGTGCCTAAGCGTCGTCGGGAACAGCTCCGCCGTGAAGACGTAGACGGTAGCGAACGCCATGGTGATGCACAGCTTTCCAGCCATGTATAAAAGTAAAGGCCCGTAACTCCAGGATCCTGGAACAGAGCAGCGATAAATCACCGGGATCGCGCGCCATGGCATAGTGGCCATTATAACCAACATAATTACATGAACAACACGGTCGCGACTAAGCCGAACGATGACGGCACGTAGCGTCGTCTCAACGCGCTTTTTGCCCTCGGATGTGGATTACACACGTAATATGCAACGCGGCGTATCACACATTTACAGCTTATATTTTCGCGCGATTATAGCCCCTCGCCGTGCGCTCGTGCGCGCTCTTGCGATTAAACTTTATGATTCCAGCACGGAATGAGTGACACGTGCGAATACGGGGATCACGGGGAAGAGGAAAAAAAAATCAATGAAAAAGATCTCGCAGTTTTTTCAAGTAACAGCTTCCAATGCGCGCCTTTTCTTCCTCCTATGTGTCGATAAAACATATAATCTTAGAAGCAAGAAAGAGGAATAAAAACATAATAAAAATCATCACGTCAACGAAGTTCTTTGAAACGTGACACTAAGATCAGTATTCATAGTCTATTCTTATTTCAAGACAGTCTTACGTAACATGTTAAAACGCTAATATGGTTCTGTAATTGGTTTCTGATATCTCAAGACTGAGCTACTTAAGCGATCTTGAATAAGAACTGACTAGAAATACCGGTCTAACATTTACGTATTCATTTATGTATTCATTCATGGTATAATACAAGAATGTATAGCATTAACGAACATGAAAGAAATAGCGAATAGTTTCGAAAGGACTTTTTCCTCATTTTCGTGTTACGTCTATTTTCTTCCTTGTTAAAAAATAAATGGGATAAGCACTTAAATAGCTTGATGATGAAAGGAATATGTGGCACAGCGAGGTGCGCATCGTTGACATTAATGTTTCAAAAAAATATTTCCGAAATTCTTCCCTCGCAAAAATTTCTCTGGCGTAAACGCGATTCAACGGCTTTTTATAACGCGACCCACGAAACGAGGATCCATCCTTGTCTGAGGAACCTCCATTTTTTTTATCTCTTTACCTGCCGGTATGAACTGGATTGCAAGGCAGAACGCTCCGCTCAGCAGGAATGAGCCGGAGAGCGTTGGTTTACGGCCAATGTGATCGGTCAGCACCCAAGCGAGGCAATACGCCGGTATCTCGACCACCGCGACGAGCACGAAATTGATGTACTTATCTCCAGCGAACGCGACGGAATTCAACGACAGTCCGTAATAAACGAACGTGTTCGTGAGCCAGCAGAACGAGCAAATCAGCAGTCGAATAAGTATCACTGAACTATGTAGAACTTGCACGATCGGTTTCCTCTCATCTGATGTCACCAGCTTGCTTTTCTGAAAGCAATCATATCGATCATGAGATGACCATGAAGCCGTAAGGATCGTATGCAAATCATTGTTTTACGTTGATGTTTACGGAATAATGCAAAAGTTACTGATTGTACTGAAAATTACGAACGATAGCTGTACGTTAAAATAATAGACTCGCAGATAACATTTTTTCAATGCTATAATTAACCATGTGTAATTTGTAAGGACAAAAAAGAGAGAAGTGACATACCGTTTCCTCCTTATCTACATTTATTTCTTTAAACGTATTGATGGCCTCGTCCGTTACTGGCAGACCGTTCATCCGGGCCATTTTACGGTATATTTTTTCCACTTTCTCATGTTCATCCTTTGTCAGCAGCCACCTTGAAAATGACATGCATGGTTGATAAAAAACATATTTCAAACGTGTTTTGAACAGTTTAAAACATGCTTAATTGATGTTTTTAATATGTTTTAAATATATCTATTTATAGTACTGTTTAAAGCATATTTGAAGCATTAAAAATATGTTTAAGAAGAAATAATATATTTTATTTAAAAAAAAAAAAAAAAAACATTAGTCTTTACCAATCTTGGCATTATGTATATATATTTCGCAGATAAAATATTATAATATATCAAAAATTTTACCGTCTATAAATATTCCTTAATAAATTCCATTTTTTTAATTGTTGTTTGTTACTATAAAAAGTTGCAGATACGATAATAGTTAAGATAATAAATTATTCTAGCTATAAATCTTTCAATCTTTTATTCATTTTAATACAATGAATTATGTTATAATTATGTTATATTTTTAAATTCCCGATAGACATCCATGAAGGAGAATCAATCACGCACATACTTCAGTAAATTATAGATATACAATGTTCGACGATTTCAAATTTTGCTAATCGATTGAAAAGGTTTCACCGATACGTGAGTGTTGATTAAGATTAAAAAGAATTACCTAATTGATTCTGGAATGAGCACAGGCAGGAAGACGGCTAACAGTCCCGGCCCGTATATTACCCTAAGAAGCGTTCGCCAAGATCTTAGCCAACTTGCGATTAATCCCAGCAAAATCTCACCCACGGCAAACATGCAGCAGATTATAGTACTTCCAAAGACTCTGTTTTTCTTTCTCGCCGTCTCCAACCCTGAGAGCGAACAAGTGTATAAATTATTAGCGAACGTAATAACGCGTAAGTTATGTTGAAAGGACATTACACTGTGTGAAGAGAAACGTGGAATTAATTATACATATCTTATAATACGTGATTCTTATGTAATATGCAATTTATCGGTAATAATACGATAGCGGACGTAGAAAAATGTATTCGTGCGATCAACGCAAGTGCGTCGGTGATTTAAAAATTCTGCGATATACAAGATTTTAAAAAATTTCGAATCTCTTGATATAATCTACAATCGAGAAATTTAATCGACGGTTTAATAAAAAATCTCATAAATAGAGATAAATATTAATCGCTGATTTGAAGAAAAAACGTAGGTACTTTCAAATTGTTCCGCATATACATTAAGAAAAGTGCAATATTTCTTTTCTATCTTTTCATTTTCCGCAAGTATAACCTCGAACAATTTTTTAGTGAAAACTTATTATCTTTCATATGGCTTGTTAGTATTACATTTCCCGAGAATGTTTTGTCACAGAATATATTTTCATAGGAATCTAAATGCATGTCGCATAAAGCTACAACTACAATTTTAATAAACGACTAAATAAATACGTGGTAAATCCAGAATAAATAACTCGAAAATATCTGCGTTATGCGTGTCGCGTATTTGCATTCCAAACGCGAGTAAAGAGCATTACATCGAGAATTTGCTTCGCCGCCCGTGAACACTCGTAATAGGGCAGGAACGACATAACGCTTACAGGTGTCGCATTTATTTTTTGCTCTCCCCGAGCATATTTATTGTTCCGTTATTAACGCACCTAAAATAAATCCAGCGCTGTAAATTCCAGCCGCCATGCTGGCATCGAGGAATTCGAATGCGAGAAACATCCAATAATTCACGGAGAAGGAATGTATCAAGCCACTGACTCCAGACAGAGACGTCGCCACCGTCAAAAAGGTTCGTCTCCCATACCTGGAAAAAAAAGAATGAACGTGGATGTGCACATTGTCCCAGCAAAGCGCATTTCTGCCATGCCGCAATGCGAAATTCTTCGCGATACGCCATGCTTTCTTATCCAGAATCTGTGAAATCGAAGAATTGTAAAAACATTGTTACAGACTATTTGTACTATCTTGGATTATGTGAAAATTAAATATATCCTTTTAACTATAAGAATTTAATCTCGTGATCAATCATGAGTGATTGCTGGCTAAGAAACGCATAACAAAAAACGTTCACAATACAGCTGATTATCTGTGCGATTATATGAGCGATTGTATCTAACTCACAAGGAAAAATATAGAAAAATAATGTATTTTTAGACCTTCTAGAATTAGAGGAAAAAATAGCGCAACTTGCATTTATCATGTATGTCATGCATGTATGTCATCCTTTACAAGTTACAATGTCATATGAATAGCTAGTTTAATATACATAAAATCCTAAATATTATTACGTAATAGCTAATTAAATTAGCCGTCATATGATATAATGAAATTTAAAGAATTATGTTTTTAATGTAATTGTATAATATAATATATTTTTTTTTTTTTTTAACAAAATGAAGATATAAATAAAATGAAAACGACCTCGCCGACATCCGCGACGAATGTTGCGCAATATTTTGTACGTAGTTAATTAATTAAAGCCCCGGGGATATTGCGCTGATCCCTCACCTGTCAGATATGTATCCAGCGAACATCAAGCCGACGAACTGACCGATATTCTGCATTGTGCCCACCATTGTGAGTTTCCATCGATTAGTGTCGCAGGTAAAGCCCCACTGCGTCGAAATAAGCGAAGGAAAAGGAAAAAGGAAATTAGTCTGTCGCGTCTAAATTTCGACGAGTGAAAAATACGCGCTGATTACTGGGGGCCACATTACCTCGTTGAGTATCGTATGCTCCTGCGGATCGTAAATCCAAGAATCGCAATCGCAAGTGACGTTGGTGAATGATGTTTCCGTGCATATTCCCGGGCGATCATCTCGCACCGTGTAACGCGCGCAACCGGAAATGACCCCGTCAATTTTCGGTGCAGAAGCATTGACCCACGGCGGTTCAAACGTCGTGTTCCCCGAATGCTCGCATTCCGGCACTAAACATCTGCATTTAAACAATTGCTTTTCTTTCCTTAATTTTCCCACACAATTTAAAGTTCAACATTGTATTCTAACGAATTTAAAACATTTATATGCTTTAAATATGTTAAAATCCGATATCGTGTTTTGCAAATACGTTTGAATTATGCATATTTTAACTGCATATACATACACGTGAAAGTTTAAATAATTAGCAAAGATATATATGCACATACCTGTATTTAACCTCGCCCGCAGTAAATACGTAAGAAAGCGTAAATCCTGCCGATAGCATTAACGGTATACTGAGAGATGTGAACATCACTATCTGGTAAAATCCAAATTTTTCTATATTGTTCTCCATCAACAGATCTTTCGTACCTCCTATGAAAATGAATAAAAACTCGATTGTATGATCTGTGCTTCTCGATTAAGATATTATAGGAAGAAAAGTCACATGTCATTAAACTTGACACTATTACGAAATATTCAACTAATAAAAAAATATATTTATCATACACAGGCTTATTAAAAACAAATAAGTAAAGATTTTCAATCGCATAATCTGTCCTTCTTGAGAGAAAGATCATAACAGGAAGAATCACGTTATATTATTATGTTAATTCGTATAGATTACTATTTTAAAAACTTTAAAATATTAATAAATCAACTAAAAAACATATTTATATATCATAAAAGACTTGTTGAAAAGATGCGAGAAAGATTTTTCAATTACACCTTCCATTATATCTGTTGACGAAGCTCAAGTGAATGCGAACACACAGAGCGTGTGCAGAGAACTAACAAGACATACGATTTAAACAAACGTGATCGTTACGTGCGTCGATATTGATTAAACAAGCGTTGTCGTTACGTGCGTCGATATTGATTAAACAAAAAAAGAAACAGCGCGCATCGCTGATATCCGAAGTTAGTAGTTACACAAGATGTATTGCTCGTATATAAGTGCCAGGACAAATCTCAACACTTCCCCTCAATACATTCGTAAGCTAATCAGTACGCAGGTAATCGCAACTTAAGCCTAACAATTTGACGCATTCTTTATGTTTGGGACCCGGCAGTCCTTTCGTCAGAACATCGGCGGCCATATCTTCAGTGGACTTGTACACGATCTTCATTTCACCGTTCTCGACTATACCGCGTACAAAATGATGTCGCACGTCGATGTGCTTGGACCTATTATGGAAGACCGGGTTTTCGACCAGTTTGATAGCACCGCAGTTGTCGCTGTATAAAATGATCTTGCCGAGCTCGTTGAGACCCAACTCGAGTAGAAAACGCCTGAGATGTGTGGCTTCTTTTGTGGCGTCGCTGATGGCCATATACTCGGCCTCCATTGAAGACAAAGCGACCGTCCTTTGTTTTCGCGATTCCCATGAAATTGGGCATCCGGCAAGGATGAAAGCGAAGCCTGTGTAGGACTTCCGGTCGATTTTGCAATTCGCCCAGTCGGCGTCGACAAAACCTGTCAATGGATCCGAGGCTTTTCCGTAGATAAGACCAACATCTCGAGTGCCCTTTAAGTATCTCAATACGCGCTTGGCTGCTGTCCAATGGTCGGAGTCGTAGCAGTTGTTGAACTGGCTCAGATAGCTCGCTGCATGTGCAATGTCAGGCCTGGTACACACTGATAAGTACATGAGTGCACCCACGAGCTCCCTGTATGGCACATCAACCTGTGTTGACTCGATCTTCTCGTTTCGAGCTAAGTTTGTTCCCTGACTCATGGGAGTAGCCACGGGCTTAGAATCGACCATCCCGAAACGTTTCAACAAGTCGTCGATGTATCCTCGCTGATTCATCGTGATCTTCCCTTCTTCCTGCGAGAACTCAATACCGAGACAGTATTTCGCAAGACCGAGATCCTTGACTTCAAAATCTTCTGACAGATGAGCGTAAAGTCGTCCCGCTGTGTCGCAGTCCTTTCTAGCTGCCACGATAATGTCGTCGACGTAAATAATAACGATGACCAGATTCTCTCGTTCTCCAAGATAGAATACACACGGATCACACGCTGACTGAATCAGATTGAATTTGTACAGAATTGCTCGTAGCCTTTCGTACCAACATCTTCCAGCTTGACGAAGACCGTATAGAGCCTTCTTGAGAAGAAACACCTTATCGCCAAGTTGAAGTTGTTCGAGAGTTTTCGATGCTGCGCTACGCAAGCATGATTTTCCGCTCGAGCTCACAATCTCTTCTAAAACTTCTTCTATGTGTTTCGGAGGCTCCATGTACACGTCTTCAGTTAAATTTCCATTTAGATAGGCGGTGGTTATGTCGAATTGCCGTAATTCGAGACCTAGTCTAGCGGCGAGAGAAGCCACTAATCGAATAGATCCGATACGCGCCACGGGTGCGAAAGTGTCGCCGTAATCGATGCCAGGTCGTTGTGAAAATCCTCTCGCGACGAGGCGGGCCTTTCTCTTTTCCAAGGTTCCATCGCTCTTGAACTTATTACGAAGAACGAAACGGCTGCCTATCGTCTGCTGATTTTTGGGACGATCTACGATTACCCAGGTTCCTTTCGTCAAAATAGCTTCCAACTCAGACTTCATGGCGTCCATCCAGAGATTCTTCTCGGGTCCACCCAAGGCCATCTTCGTTGGAATTTCGGCAAGATTCGCGCATTCTTCGCCAGCAAAACGAGCCGGGTAATGTACCTTCTTCGGTCTTCCCCTCAATCCAGTCCTCAAGAGGCGAGGTCTACCTGGACCTCTCCTGGGTCGATCCTCGACGAGTTCTTCGATTGCTTCCTCCTCTTCTTCGGAAACCGTGTCTTCTTCGCGTATCTCCGTCACAGTCTTGTTGGGGCATAGTTCGATTTCCACGCTCAATTCATTTTTGGTAGTAGACTCCTCTTTACCGTCGTAGAAATCCTCGAAATCATCCGCGATGGTATCTTCCGAGATGTCTAAAAACTTGATGTCGCGCGAAATGTCGACCCGTCGTTCGTCGGATATCCACACTCGATAAGCCTTTGAGACTTCCGAGTATCCGAGGAAAATGCCTTTCTTCGACCTATCGTCGAATTTTCCCTTCCTGGGGTCGCGATTTAAGACATATACATTTTGACCAAAGCTTCGGAAGTGGCTCACATCCGGTTGCTTCCCGGTCCATGCCTCGAAAGGAGTTTTTCCGTTCAAACTACTCGACGGACATCTGTTGCGAATATAGTTCGCGGTGTTAATGGCCTCGGCCCAAAAAGATGGCGGGAGTCGTGATTGTATCAACAGACAGCGTGCCATCTCGACCAACGTTCGATTCCGACGCTCGGCCACGCCGTTTTGCTCCGGCGTATGAGTAGTCGCAAGTCGCCGACCGATGCCGTGCTCTTTCAAAAACGCGTCGAATTCGGAATTACAATATTCTTTCCCGTTGTCACTTTGCAGATGCTTTATTTGTTTTCCGGTCTGTTTTTCGGCATACGCTTTAAATTCTTTAAAAGCTTCGAACGCTTGATTTTTCTCTCGTATCACGCGGACCTCGCACCACTTCGAGTGATCATCAATAAAAATGACAAAGTATCTTCCTCGACCTATGGATTCAGTTCGCATGGGGCCGCAGACATCGGTGTGCACAATTTCCAATAAACCGGATTTTCGTTCCGTCCTTTTCGGAAAAGGAGCGCGTGTCATTTTTCCGCGCGCGCAAACCTCGCATGCTAAATCGCTCGTCGCGTCGTCTATTTCGATACCTCGAACGTCGCCCGCTCGGACACATTTCATTAGATCGCGAACATTTAAATGTCCCATCTTTCGATGCCAGGTCTTTAAAGTTCGATCTTCATTCTTGATCGCCGCGCAGCACTCAGACTTTGACTCGCGGATGTAATAAAGCTCATTCTTTCGATCCGCGATCAGAACTGTCTTGTTATTGCGTTTGTCCACGATTTTCGCCGTAAGCTTATCAAAAATTACTTTATATCCACGGTCAGTAATTTTTCCGACTGAGAGCAAGTTCGTTCTTAAATCCGGAACGTGTAAAGTATCTTTTACGCTCACTTGTTTCGTTACGCCGTTGACATCGCCCGTAAACGAAATTGTTCCGCGAGCCTTGATTTCCGCGGAGGCTTTTGTAGCAAGATTTAACGTTCCGTGTGCGATCTTCGAGATTTCTGAGAAATCACGCATGTCTCTACACAAGTGAGTGGAACAGCCACTATCGAGACACCATTTTTCGCGTTCCGGCGCGCTTTTGATTTCGAAGGCGTTCTGCGGCGGCGAAAAATCCAACGATGCAAACATGCTTAAGTTCTCGACTTTTTGCGTCACTTCGTCATTTCCGCGCGACTTTCCACAATCAATCGCTTTATGCCCGAAGCGTTTACATCGATAGCATTTTATTCGACTGAGATCTACTCTTTTTGAATCACGTCGTTCGTCCCGTTTCGTTTTCGGCTTTGACTGATCGAGTTGGCCCCTCTTCGCGCGCGTTATCTTCGCGGCAAGGGCTTTCGGCGTTTGAAAACCGACAAACAAATCGCCTCTGCGCGCGTCAGCTTCCTCGATGATTTTTATGCGTAACGCCTCCGGCGTCGGCAACGCGTCTCGTGATTCGATAGCGCACCGAAAATTTTCGAACGCCGGCGGAAGGCTGTATAACAGCATAACGGTCAATAAATCTGGGTTTACCTCGATGTCCATCTCTCCTAGCTTGTCGACGGTGTCGAAGAAATCGCGTAGATGATTATGAACATCTTCTCCGTCGCCCATTCGGTGAAGTGTCAACTTCTTCAGCAAAGACGCTTTCCGCGCTGGTCCTGCTGACTGATATGTCGCCTGCAGTTTCATCCATAAGGCATGTGATGTCGCACATCCTTTTATAAGCTTCAACTCGGACGGACTGATCGCTAGGATGATATCCGACTTCGCGGTTCGATCGGCTTTTTCCCATGCTGCTCTGGCAGCGGTGGCGTTCGGATTTCCCTCGACGGCTTCCGGCTTCGCCTCTTCTCCGTTTACAATGGACCACGAGTCGCTCTTGACGAGCAGGGCCTCCATTTGAATGCGCCACGTATCATAATTGTCCTTTCCAAGCGGCTCGATGCGGACGGTGTGCTGTGATGCCATCCTGTTCCGCGCTCGTGTTACTCTCGATGTTCTCGAAAAAGGAATCGGTTATTATTCTCTTTTTCCTTGTGTTCACACACGCACTTCGCGTTCACTTTGTAATTAATTCACACGCACTTCGCGTTTACTTTGTAATTAATTTACGCGTCGTTCTGGGCCCATAACCTGTTGACGAAGCTCAAGTGAATGCGAACACACAGAGCGTGTGCAGAGAACTAACAAGACATACGATTTAAACAAACGTGATCGTTACGTGCGTCGATATTGATTAAACAAGCGTTGTCGTTACGTGCGTCGATATTGATTAAACAAAAAAAGAAACAGCGCGCATCGCTGATATCCGAAGTTAGTAGTTACACAAGATGTATTGCTCGTATATAAGTGCCAGGACAAATCTCAACAATATCCTTCTTACTACACATAACATAAATAAATAATTACACGGCATACTTAAGCATCTAATCAGTTATGTAATATTGAACAATCGGATATCTAGAGTCGACGTACAATTACAGCATAATCTCCAACATCTATTTAACAAGCTAGCGTCCATTGTACATGTATATACATGTATACTTAGTAATTTAATAGTACTGTTAAGCAGTGATACTTAAACAACGCTAACTGGAAGAATAATCCGGCTGGAAATATAAGCCCATCTTAATCGTCTCTTCAAACGACTGGCTGTGTGCATAAGACTTCATACAATTTGCCTGTGTTATGTAAGATAAAACCAGGCAACATTTATCACTGATTCATGCAAATTCCTTTGACATTTAACAATAAAAAGTAAGATTTTTGCATTAAGTCAAAATTTGCGAGAAAATGTTCGTTAAATCCATATAAATTAATACACTTTATTTGAATCATTATATAGAAAAAAAGTAATTTTGAAAATAAAATTTTGTAAATACTGTATAAACTATAGCTACAATTATGTATATTTATAATTAGAAATGTTTTAAATACATACACTTTCGAATGTATATAATAGTTTAAAAAAATAAAACTTTCCTTTCAAGATATTTTACATATATATGTATAAATTAATATAATATTGTTTCGTATACAAACTATTATAAGCATATAAACTAAACTCGATTTCATTTTGTTTTCTTTTTTTTTTTTTTTAATTATTATAAATTGAAAGTTATATTTAAGACATTTCTAATACTTTTGTATTTCTCGTACACACGTCTTATTGTAGCGCATTTTTATTACATGGAATTTTTCTCAGTTTACGTTTAAGATTATTTTTCCGACGCAGAGATCACGTTGCATTTCCATTTTACGATTACGTCAACGTGTGGATATCGTTCGTACCATTTTCCAGTCCCGACCGCAGCGAATCAGCCTCGTCCTTCCTTGAGCAGCACAGCTGCATGCTTTCGTCTTTTACGTCTCGTAAGCTGCAATCATATTCAGAATTTATACTACTTGCCGGGAATCGCCGCCGCGGCGGCCGATCGAAAGTTCAACCTGGCGCTTTATGTTTCAAGTTTCCTGGGAACATCGCGAATGAAAAATGATGCCAGTCGCGCGCGTCGGACTTGGGCGGGCATTACATAAAGAAACGAGATCAGTTCGCCGCGCGAAGGCGGCTACAGAAAGCTTTTTCCCATAAAAAGTACCGGAAGAGAGAGAGAGGGGAGGGGGGGGAGGAAAGGAGAGAATGAAAGAGAGAGAGAGAGAAACTGCCCTCGGAAACGACTTCTCCACCGAGTAGCCGGAGCTATCCCGGCGGTATATAAACAACGCATGCATATAACGACGATGTTGCAGGTGCTGGAAGTTAGCGGCCCAGCGGCAAATAACGCAAAAAGTATGACGTATTCGAAACAGGATTATCAGAGCGTAATAATTATTGAAGAACCGAAAAAGGAAGCTGTAAAGCTGTGCGCAATATGAAGTATTACGCGTACAATACGGAATGATAAGGCACGGATTGGATAATCGCTTTGTATGGAGTCTCGTTGATTCGTTCTCGACTTTTTGATTTACAGCGTTAAATCATTATGCAAACGATCACCTGTACGATTACAACGTGAATCTGCATGAGGATGTTATCATAAACAAAAAAGTATTTTTGCAAACACTGTTTGCTGTGTATTGAACACACGCATAATAAATCTTTGTTTCGCAGTGATTTCTGTCATCAGGTAATTTAATCGCATGTTTTAATAAATTCACAGAGGAACAACTCGCGTTTTCGACTATATTTTTGCAAAGCCGCATTTTTTTACAAAAAATATGCGAAATATCATGTTTAATAAACAGATAATTGTAAAATGTTTGAAAAATACCAGGAGAAATTCCAGTGCTTCCCCGAAGACTGCGTGCTGACCTCTCGCAAGCACGCGGTTAACTTCTATGTATGGCACGTGGCTATTGATTTCCCAACGGTACCGGAAACCGGAAAACCGCTGCGCTCGAAAGAGAGAAACCGAAAAGAAAATCGAAACGCCGAACTAGATAAAGTAATCTTCCAATTGTGCCAGATAGCTGAAACAATTGTGCAGTTTATCCCATTGCGTCACGAGATACTGTTTTAACCATATCGAGCGGTGAAATGCACAAAGGGAGTAACTACCGGCACGTATTCGGTTTTACGATACCATTCTGATGTTGCATTAAACGCACGCCGCTCGCGAAAGTCTTCAGTGAAGTTTATCCATTCTCGCGATTTACGCGGGACAGGCATTGTTTCCGTGAAAACGAGGTTTACGAGAAACTAGACAATGTTAATAAATTAATGGAGCGTGTTTTGATATTCTGATCATTACTCGCGCGAGGTGACTCGAGAAAGTTACCGTGAACCAAATAGTCCAAGTTAATCTCGAGGATGTTGAGGAGATTTACGTACTTTGCCTTTAGAATGCACGGCACACGAATGGAACAACAGAATGAGCCATTAGTTCTACGATTCTTTTTCTTTTTATATCCTTTTAATTTGCGAACGGAGGATCTCCCACGTGATAGTCGAGTTGTCACGCGATTTCTCACGGATTCTAAATACGATATCGCAGTGGAGCATTAGGAGATGCGAATACTCGAATGATGGGGCTGTATTTATACAAAGATATATATTGCATCTTATTAGTAAATAATATTAACAATTTATGTAATATCGAAATTATTACTTATAATTACACACAGACACACACACACACACACACACACACACACACACACACACACACACACACACACAGAATATCTCAAAATTCGATAATAAGATTTCAACGAAAATTTGTGAAGAATAAAGTAATAAAAGTACATGCCATGTTCTTTCTCATAAAATCATATTAAATATAAAATAAGTAATATAAGATAAATAATAAAATATTTAAGTTAATTAAAATATAATAAATAATAAAATGTTTAAGTCATATAATTTATTTAACATTAGTAATATCTATTCGTGTGTTGTGGAATGGTATTAGAAACGATATGTTGAATTGATACGTCAACAAACATTTCGCAATCACCGACACTAAACAAAACATTACTATTATACGCATACTATCATACTATTATACGTGTGATATACATGATATTTAATTAACATTTGGGATTGGTTATATCTTAAATTTTTATATTTAAAAAACTGCTTTATAAATAAAAAACGACATGCACTTTTATGCAATGATTTTTTATCAAGTGATGATCTGAAAATTGTGCAATTTTGAGCATACATATTATTACAATCTTCAATATTTTAAAAATTAAATTTATTAAAAAATTAATTTTTTAAATGATACTCGAATATGCGTAAGATAAAAATGGAACTTAATAAGCTGCCATCAACTGACTTGTCTTTATCATTACGTTTTTAAAAGTATTTGTACTTAGAAATACTTTACTTGTTGTGAAAACATTAATAAGCATAACAATAATTATCGTGAACATTATCAAAAGTATTAATAAGCATTAATAAGCATAACAATAATCATCGTGAAAATTATCAAGAGTCAGATAATATACTCAATCCCGTGTCTTGTACTTCTAGAGATCAATTTTTTAACATGCGCATGTACAGTTATCACAATGTATTGTTAGTATTTCGACATATTCATATGCAAAATACACACTTTGGTGTATATTTTGCAGCTGATAACGTCGATGACTATAGATTTACATATTAGGTTAAGTAAAAAGTCATCGCGTTTTTTTAAAAGACATCTATCAGTAAAAACCGCAATTACTTTCTTACCAACAATATAAATATATCTTGATAGAGTAAAGTTTCAGCTTTAAAAATCTCTTTTTTAAATTATACGATACGACAATTTTTAATGGAGTTATGAGCAATTAAAGTCAAAATAATTCTTTTATTTAATCCGCGATAACTCAGTAATCAAAAGTCGTAGGAATATTAAAAAAAAACGATTTTGTAGGGAAAGTATCAAGCTTTCACGATAGGTAATCGAAAATTTTCTCAAATTCGTTTTGGACACGTTACAAATCCACAAAGTGAGAAGAAAATTTTTCGTTTTTTTCAGCTCGTAGTTTTTGGTACGTAAAAATTATCAAACTCATATAAACTTAAAAAATGTGATAAGCTTTTAAAAGTAGAGATTTCAAGCTTTAAAACCCTTTTTTTAAATTTGAATTTCATTCATTATTGACGAAGATATTGTATATACAACTTTGAGCTAAAAAATACGCGATGACTTTTTACTCAACCTAATATAATTGTTTTTTTTTTCTTTTCTTCGCATATCGTGTGCATTCGCGTTTTGGGAAACAATTTACAAAAGCGACGTTTACGATTTTCGCTTTTATTACAGTCTTGGAGCGAGAAAACGTTTTCCACGCGCACATCCTTCTGGACAGTATCTACATATTCTATTACCTTAAATCGGAGCGCTTAAGCTCGGCGTCTCTGTCACGAATACGAGCGTGCGGCCTTTTAAACGTCGTAATACCCGATTTTGCGCGCATAAGCCATGAGCCGCATGCTACACTTTTTGCTCGTCCAGGGACGATCGCTCGATAAGCGAATTAATGAATTGTCGCTGCTACCACCACTATCAACTGCCGGACACCCGCTGGACCTTATGTGCACCTGCCTGCTTCCAACTCGCAAAAGCAGCAAGTACCTACTGTCTCTTTGAAGGTAATAGCATTTCGCGATGGTCACATAATGTTTGCGCAAGTGGGGAACGGCTAAACAATCGGTGGGGGAATAACGTTTTATCTTAAACTTATAAAGAAACGAGCGTGGAAATTATTGATGGATATGTTGTCCGTTCGAATCCGGACAATCCCTACGTTCGAAAACTCTTTGGAGAGCATTTTCGAGATGTGTGATTACACTGTTCGATAAAAAAAAAAATAGAACGAAACTAGTCCCGTAGGTTTTTAACGCTGTATACGAAACTTCTAAATGTTCTCATGTCATAATTTTGAGAAATTTATGCTTAAAGTTGCAAAAAGGTGTAATTTTTGTATATTTTCATATTATTACTACCATATGAAAAGTTTTATTGCTATCAAAATTAAACATGTTATTTTCAATCCTCAAAAAAATTTGTTAATGTCGGCTTAATAAGATATTCAATGGTTTAGGGTCGATTGCGAAAAAGTGAATTAGATTATTGACGATTTACCAAATAGTTTTCAATTATATTTAGTTATATTATAAAGGTTTTTTTTAGGCTGTATAAGAATCTGATGTCAAACTTGATAAATTCAAAATTATGAAAGACATCTGACATTTTATAACAATCCAGATTTTCAAGTTTTGACATTCGCTATACTGAATCCACTATTTTGAATTTATTAATTTTTATATTGACTTATATACAACGGCCTAACAAACTTTTAAGTTTAAATAAATATAGTCAAAAGCTATTTCATTAAATTGTCAATGACTTAATATACAGTTTCTTTGTAATAAACCCTATATTTAACTATGAAAATCTTTTATTAGCACCGACACTAAAAAATTCTCTTAAGGACCGAAAGTCAACATATTTAATAGCAACATACTTAATTTTGATTATATTAAAACTTCTCCAATACGTCATACATTGTTATAGCATGATAAAATACATAAAAATAGCTGTTTTTAATTAATTAAATTGCAAATTTTTCAAAATTGCAGCAATATGGAAAACGCATTCTTATTCAGCATTTTCAAAAACTATAAAACGTGACTAGTCTTGTTCCAGTGTTCGAAAAAAATCTTTTTTCTGAACAGTGTTAGATCACCTAGTAAAAAACATTCTGCGTGCACATTAATATTAATGTCTATCGTAAATATATTAATATTAATGTACAAGAAAATCGAGATCTATATCGTCTGAGAAATGTTAGCAGTAGCTTTAAGCACAGCAATTTCATTTTTTATAAAGTATCTTTTACATGCTGGAAAGTGTTCAAGATTTCTAAATTGAGGAACGGCGAATACTTGCTTGGACGAATATTCAAAACTGTTACTTCAATGTACGATGCGTGTTTTTTTTTCATTCATAGAACGACATAAATTATAATATATTATCAACGTATGCACATTTTGTAAATATTGGAAGCAATCGTAACTCCATCGCACGTTTAATCAGCAATCCTGTTGCTCAATATGTTAGCAATTTAATATGTATTCCTATGTGATGCACAAAATATATTTCGTATTCAATAATTCGTACTGCAGTCAATTTTAATGGTATTTTGATACATATGCTGTGTATAATATATACATATTTTCCGTGTTCAATACTCGTGCGTAATTAACGGGAAGAGAGAGAGAGAGAGAGAGAGAGAGAGAGAGAGAGAGAGAGAGAGAGAGAGAGAGAGAATAAAGATTCATTTAATATTAAAAATCGCGGAAAGGATATTTTTGACGTTACCCTATATATTGAAAGGCTCTGAAGAAATATCATACATACGTGTAACTGGTTTCAGCTATCCGGTTCCAGCTTGCATTGCTTCTCTCGTGTACGCTATATGAGTTACAATTTTGTTATATCGTGACAACAAGTGTAAAAATAAATTAAAACTAGTTAACAAATATAATCTGTAGCCATCTATGGCTTTTCATGAATTTATTGTAACTAATTCCCGACTAATTCTTTTAAGCATTATTAACAATCGGACAATGTTGTGTAAAATTCATAAATGTAATAAGTACAGAATGCGCATTTCCTATTCTTAGCATCTGTGCTCCGTTAGAAAGAATTGAATCTCTCAGCATCTTTCTTCAATATTTTACGAAGAGAGAGACATCTCATATTTATTAAATCAAATTAAATTTATTCCTATAGAAATAACATTGAACACAAGATGAAACAGGTTTACGTGTTAACGATATCTAACCGATATCCTACTTAGATAATATATTTATCACAATACATATTTGACAAGTTTTTAATCTGATCAACCCAATTATGGTGTTTTATATATATGTGATAGATTTTTACACGAGATTTCTAGATACGTTCTACACAGATATATAGATACGTTCAATAATAAAAGAGTGGCATTTATTGAGATATAATCGTAGATGTCATTTCGGAAGAGAGACAACTTTTCCTTAAATTACTCTTCCAATCTTTGATATGTTATCATATGTATACTTTCATCATAAATAAATAATATTAAAGTAATACGGTCGAGTCTCGAGTCGATTAAAAGTAATTCATGATCATTAAAATGATATCAATTATTTCAAATTATTTTAATTGTAAAAAAGATTTCAATTTATTAAAATATTGTGCAAATTTGCAAAAATTCCATTCTTAATTCGAATTAAATTTATATCAAAATGAAAACATTCTCTTAAATGGAATCAGTATCTTATCACTGAAAAGCAATGAAGATATATAAATAGTTATAGTTAAAAGTATACCACTGCATTTAATGAGATCTCACTGGAAAGAATCAGTTATGCCTGTTTTCATCAATGTAGGTTAACTTTAATCTCAGTTCAACTGATTCTTTATCATTTTCTAATTCTTAGAACTAGAGAAAGATGAAGCAATTATAAGATTAAAGTTAATCTATATTGATAGAAATAAGCGTTAGTAGTAAATTATATTCCAATCAGTGATATTAGATCGCTGAAAATAGTGATGTGAATAACAAATTTAGGAGCAAAGGTGGAATATATAATTCTATGAATTTATATGAATACTATGTAGTTGAATGCGAGTTTTATTTCCATAGATATGAGAGCTTTTACCAAGAAATAGCAATCAAAAATTTAGAAAGCTTTGAAGGTTATATTTTGCTGGTATATGCGGCTATTTAATATTTTTACAGTAAAAAATCTTGATTCTACTAATCACAATCAATAAGATACAAGGCGGAAGAGTAAAGTGTAAATCTTCGAACTTAAAATAAGTGAAACTCTCTAATTATCAGTGGAATATTTAATTAGTAAAATTTTCATTAATTTTAAGAGAGTACATAGTCTCGTTATAAATTATGGAAAAAATGTAGGCATTCTTCATTCACCGCATTTATCACGCAGTAATATGACGCTATTAATGATACTAATAATTGAAAATATGGAAGTAAGATTTAATACCATACTGAAATGATAAGCTTTAACAGAGTCAAATTACAACGCGTATGATTATATTGATATGTATGTCATAATCTTATTATTAATCGATAATTTAATTATAATTTAGATAATTATTAATTAACAAAATTATTATTAATGATCAATAATTAATTATCACTTACAATTAATTTAGTTATCATTTACATATTGATAAAAATCTTAATCTCTTAATTAGTATTTAAGATTATAAAGATATTATTTCTTTCATATTGCAAATAGTCATATCACTATTAATTATGTTACATTTGTGTAAAGTTTATTCGTCCGACGAAATTGAAATTAAAATAATATCTTAAAACTGGATTGCACTTAAAATTCGTGCCATTATTTATAAACAATTTTTTATAATTTTGTTTTAGTTTTATATATGTGCTTTTTTATACTATTGCGTCAGAATTACACTTTTTTTTTTTATATATTCTTTCCTTATTTCTTAAATAATGGAAAATTTTTACTTATGACGACAAATTAGTTGTTTACACGTGAAATATTGTTTTCGAATCAAGATGAAATGAATTATATTCAATTATTTTATCTTATCTGTAAAATTTTCCCTAATATTTACAGATTTATTTTTAGATAATAACGAAAACAGTTACATATAATATTGAATAAAAGCGATCGACTGATCGAATTCAACACATGGGTGTCATTATTCAATGGCAAACAAAATACCGTTTTACTGAAGGACTATAACGCTGTGACACGTGCTTACGAATATTTGTAAACGAGGAAGAATTGAAAAGAAAATTTATTATGTGAGAGACGAGGTTGAAGGACGATTTAGAAGCAGCACTAAAAAAACTATTTCTTTATAAGACACACTGAAAAGATAATTTTTTTTATACTTAGATTGTTAATTTATTCTTTTTAAAGCAAAAATTCATTTTTATTGTAGACAAGTATAAAGTTTTACCTATTAACTTAATTATGTATCAAACTGATACTAATTAAGTATGATACTGATTAATATAATTTGTTATTACGATTAACTAATTATACGAAAAAAATTAGTAGTAGTTTTTTAGATAATAGCGAATTTTTGAGATAATAGAACCTAAAAAAATTAGATTACGTAAACTAAAATAACGTAAAAGAAAAAATAGAAAAAGAAGAATTAGATTATGTAAATTGCTTGTCACTTAAATAACGTTTTCATAAACGTACTTTGTTTCGTATATAAAGGAATAATAGAATTCATTCGCAATTACATATATCCTTTTGATCTAGAGTTGTGTGAACGTGAAAGAGCAATTGCAATACGCGCATTGGTAATAAAAATATGATGAAAATTAAATAAAATAAAGATTTAAGTATGATTTCTGCGAATCAGTCTTGTACGAATCAACGTTAGTATTCATTGTGCAAGATTTGATGGTTACCGAATCTTAATTGACATAGATGTATGTATCGTGGCAATGAACTGTAAGAGAAATATACGTGATGTGCTTAATGAAAAGGCAAAATAAAATGCTAAATGAATACTGAAATACTACGTACTCTATTATGAGTTATAATTAATGATTATCGCAATCAAACTGCACATTTCGTAATAAAATTCTTTTCTTCAACAACAGAAAGTCTCAGAAGATCATCATTCATCATAAATTTTCCATTATCAGTATCCATCTAAAATTATTTTTCAAATATGCAAATTTAATTGAAGTAAAGTATTTGAAATTAAAATAATTTGAAATTAAGTAAAAAATAAATCTATTATTATCTATTATTTTCCTTCTATCTGTAATTATTCATTTATTAATTCAAAAAGTTTTTAGATGCTTTTAGACGTTTTCAAGAAAACTGAAATTCGTAAAATTTCTTGCCCAAACTCTGTTCAGAAAATTTTATCAGTAAAGTTTCACATGCCAATATCTGACGCTTGCGCGACATTCTCTCTTATAACTCTATATATACTTTGCATACATTAGTACATATAAGTATTGACCCAGACCATTATTTTAACGACATGCAACTCAATTCCTAAACTTGGTTCGGCAATTGTATTTGCTGCTCTTCGCACTTGAATATTTAACTTGTATTTTATGCAAAAATAATATACATCGAGAGAGACATTGATGGCTGTATCTATATATATATGACGAATTTGTGAATTATATTAATAAGAATGAGATTGTTAGTCGCTTTGTATATGAGGAAGCGGATTTTAAATTTATAATTATCGTCTCGTTATGTCATAATAACACAGCATTATCGAGCGTTAACAGGAGTGTTTTTCCCATGTTTGGCAAAATTGGTTTGATACTTTTAACTTTGTAAAATTATGCCGGGAAAATAACGCCAACATAATAATTGGCGCGCAACCGGTCAATTTAATGATATGTTTATTCATTTACGTTTCAGCGCATACAGTTCAATACCCCTCTTTGATATTTTTATGCAGTAATGCACTGTTCCGTATTTGTTTGTATGGCCGCATAAAGTTACAATCCCGTTAAATATGTTAAATTTAGAAATTGGCACTCCACTCTTTTCACATACACACTGTATTGAAAATATTCACAATATTTAAATTGAATTTAACATGTATAGACAAAAACATTAACATCAACACTTCGGTTATACAATGACCATGTTCAGCAAAATATTTATTTTGCGCCTGTTGGAAGTTTTTCTTGCTATTATAGGACTCTATTCCTCTAGATCCAAATATATATTATAATTCAATCGACGCAAAATGCTTACTTAAAAATAAGTACCGACTTCTGTTGAATGTACCTATAATAACTCATGAAATCGATTAAATGTATACCATACCAAATGTATATGATTTGATCAGTTTAGTGAATCACTTGTTTCATAAATGATTTTTCAAATATAAAGATATTAAAACAAAACTGATATATCACTTGTTTCATAAATGATTTTTCAAATATAAAGATATTAAAACAAAACTGATGATTTTACATAAGCTTCTTCGCTTTTACAAACTGACATATATTTAATTGCGATAACAATATTATGATATGATAGAACTATCGAAGAGAATGTTATGTTTATCGTCTGTACTGACAGCAATTAACTTATCGAATAAAATGAAAGAGCAAAGTAACAATCTCAGATAAAAAGTACACTGTAACTATAGAATTGATATCAATTATGTTCATCAAATATCTTTGATTCTATATCATGTGTTGCAAATAAAAAAAAACTAAATATAATAAATATTTATACAAAAATTTAATAAATATTTATTTGAATAGTTCTAAGTAAATATTTACTAAATGTAAACATATATTTATTTTATATAAAAACCATTAATTTAATTTTTAACTCATCATTTTTTATCGAGTAAATATTTAGTTAGTGTAAGTAAATTATTTAATGTTATTCAGAAAGATACATATTAAAATTTAGTAATTTAGTATTTAGTATTTTAGAGTAGTTCTATTTTATAAATTTTGTATTTTAATACGTGTTTGAAAAAAAATAATATCCAAAGTCCATACGAGCGATCAGAGATGAAATTCTTTAATGAAAACTTCACAAAAGATCCAAAAGAACGAACGATCTCACTCACCTCTCCAAGCCCATGATGGCACCGTACTGCGACGTAAACACTGGATTGCAATCTCCCACTAATCCGCGTGAAAACCAGAGGAATTTGCGAGAGGGAAAACTCCGCGAAAGAGAAGGAAAAAAGAAAATTGCCTCGTCACGAAGTCACGACTTTGTTCTACATCCGCGTGTCACAGACGCTCAAACACTCGGAAACTTCTCGCCAATCGTGCTTAATCACACGACACGCAGAAGAGTATGCCGTAAAGGGTGAGCTGAAGTAGGAGGCGACGGATGATGTAGGCGATGGACGATGACAATGATGACGAAAGAGGCGTCAAAGCCATCTTCAGCAGTGGGACGTTTTTCTCGCCATCTCCCTTATCTGTCTTACTATCTGAAAGCTGGGTCAACAAACCGCTCATGCAGGATGTAGTCGTGCTGTCTGATCATCAGATTGATCACAAATAGGTCGCATTACGCACTCTTTGATACAAACACGTGTCCATAGTTGCCATCTCTCCGGTTTTCGACCAGAGATTTCAGTTTTTTGAAAAATCCAATTGACCATTCGAAATTTTAGTGACCTTTCTTTTTTAAATGCATGTATCGATTTTCCTCCGGTTTTTAGAAAAATCTTTTTAGAAAAATCGGTTTTCAGCTAACCCTTTTTTCTATAAACATATTAGAAAACAACACAAATTTTGATATTGGCAATCAAATTTTGATCTCTGGCAAAATAACATAGTAGGAACTCTGTCGATTCTCTAATGGAACACTAATCGAAAGGCAACTGTGGCAACTGTGGTCGTATCTCGTATAAGTATGAATGTTCATCGCTCATTTTTTTTTAGCGAAGATCACATGACTGAATTGTCATCAATGAATTATAGCGCGACCTATTTATCGCTTAAAAATCAACGACGAGCGACA